ACGTGTATAATTTCAAATGGTTTAGAGGGTGTTTCAGTTAACATTAAAGATTGATCTGGTGGTTTTCGTTGATATTTTGCTCGCTGGCAAATTTCACATTCGTTAATATATTTTGTAACATCTGACTTTAAGGATTTCCAGTAATAATTATTTTTTAAGAATTTACAAGTTTCTTCTATGCCTCTGTGATTAGTTTTACCTTCATGTTTATATTTAATTAATATATTTCGTTCTTCCGGTTCAACATTATTTATTAATTTTGTGCATTCGATTAGTTTATAATTTTGAAAATGTTGGGCGATTACTTTTTGTACAATTGGTCTTAGTTGTTGAGATAAAAAGTGAATATACGTCTTTTTGTTATTTAAATGTTCTTTGAAGAATTTTGTTAAACTAATTTCTTCTTCTGGAATTGTTGCATGTAATATATTATGACCGTCGAAGTTTTTAAAGTTACATTTAACATAAGTAGAATACGGAGATTTCTGAAGTATTATCTGATTTGGTTTGTTGTTAATAATTTCATTTAATATAGGTATTCCTTGTAAAGATTCGTCAGTATTTGTACTATGAATTGTATTTTCAAAAGCCGGTCTTAAAAGTTTGTTTTCGAGAATGATTATTTTTGGGCTCTTAGGACGTTTATTTTCTATTTCTTCGAGTGTTTTCGAAATTTCATTTGAGTCTAATTTATTCGGATCAAAATCGTTGTCTAGAAATTTGTTAATATCAAGATCAATATCTCCAGGATTATTGTAAATAGAGTCGGTTTCTAAAGCATTTAATTTTATTCGTGACAAGGCGTCCGCATTTGTGTTTTGTTTACCATTTTTATAAAGAATTTCATAATCAAATTCTTCTAGTTTAAGTCTCCATCTCATAAGTTTTGAATTTGGTTCTTTTAGGTTAAATAACCAGACTAATGGTCTGTGGTCTGTAAAAATTTGGAATTTTCTACCGAAAAGATACGGTCTAAAATATTTACAGGCCCATACTATGGCAAGTAATTCTTTTTCCGTTGTAGAGTAGTTTTGCTCGGTGTCATTAAGTGTGCGAGACGCGTATGCGACTGGGTTATCGTTTGGTGGTGTGCCTTGTGATAATACGGCACCTAACGCGTAATTTGATGCGTCTGTAGTTAACACGAATTGTTTTGAAAAATCTGGATATTTTAATATTGGGGCATTTATTAGTAATTGTTTTAAATGGTTGAAAGCTGTAATAAATTCGGGGCTGTGTTCTACTTTAGATTTTTTCTTTAGACATAAGGTCATTGGTTTTGTGATTTTAGCAAAATCTTTAATGAATCTTCTGTAGTATCCTGCCAATCCTAGAAATGACTTAATTTCTTTTTGTGTTTGGGGGAGAGGAAAATTTTTTACTACTTTTATCTTGTCAGGATTTGGACTAACGCCTTCTTTAGTGATTTTATGACCTAAATACGCTACTTCTTTATGTAGAAATTCTGATTTATCTAATTGAATTTTAAAGTTTGCCTCCCTTAGTCTCTGAAAAATTTTTCTTAATCGATCAATGTGTTCCTGTAGGGATGTGGAAAAAATTATAATATCATCTAAATATACTAAACAGATTTCGTTTTGGAAGCCTCTTAGCACATTATTCATAACACGTTGGAACGTCGAGGGTGAGTTTTTCAATCCGAAAGGCATGCGTTTAAATTCGAAAAGTCCAGTACCAGTAGAAAAGGCTGTCTTTGGGATGTCATCGGGATGCATTTCTATCTGATGAAAACCGTTAGCTAGATCCAGAGTTGAAAAATACTGAGCTTTACCGAGTTTATCAAGAATATCTGAGATATTAGGCAAGGGAAATTTATCATCAATTGTTTTTTCATTAAGTTTCCGGTAATCTATGACAACGCGCCATTTACGTTTATTTGATGCATCTAATTTTTTTGGTACGATCCATATAGGACTACTCCAAGGGGAATGTGAGGGTTGGATTATATTATTTTTTAGCATTTCGTCTATTTGTCTATTTACTTCGGCTTTATGTATTTCAGGATAACGGTAATTTTTTGTGTAAACGGGGGTTTCGTCAGTTAGATTAATTTTGTGTTTAATTTGATTCGTGAAAGATAATGGCACTTTATCACAATAAAATATGTCTCGATATTCGTAACATAACTTCCTAATTACTTTATATTCTTCTTTATTACAGTGATTCAGTCTTAAATTTTTTAGATTTTCTTTTTGCAGATTGTCGAAATTACTTATTGAATGTTCGATTAAATTTTCATTGTTATCTTCTATTTTTGTTATAAAATTAGTTTCACATTCATTTATTAATTCTATTTCTAGAGGTTTAATAAATTGTATACTAACAGGATTTTCAGATGTGTTAGTAATGGTTGTTAACGCGAATGAATCGACAATTTTTACTAAAGCTTCGGGCATTTCAGCATTTACAAATTTTTCGTATTTTAAGATTCCTATACCATTTTGTTCTGTCACGGGTATTTTAACTTTATGTGTTGTTCTTGGTTGAATAATAATTTCATCGAATGTAAATTTGGATTCGTCAAAATTTTTATTTATTTTTGGATCCGCTGGGGTGTTTTTAATATTATGTTGGTAATACAGTGGAATTATTACATTCGGTGTTTCCAGTGTAGACTCGCTAATATTTATTTTTGATTTTATTTGTTTCAAAAGATCTACTCCTATAAGTCCATCAAATTTTGGGGAAAAGTTAAAAAGATAGAATTTATGTTGTTGATCAGGACAATTAAAAGAAGGAAATAATGGTATTGTCATTACTTCATTATGAACGGATGTTGCATGAGCTGACATTACTGAAAAATTTTCAATATTTATAAAGTCTGGGTAATATTTGTAAGCTAACTGTGGATTTATAAAACTTTTCGCGCTACCTGTATCTAATAGAAATTGAGCATCAAGTTCAGGAAAATAAACTATTGGTAAATCAGAATGATTATAATTATTAACATATATTGAAGTGTAGTTTTGGGGAAAATTTTGCGTTAAGTTTGGTTGCTTGTATTCGGAGTTTCCTGAAAATTTCCGTCCTGTTCATTATAACAGTAGTTATTTTCGTCTAATTGATATATTTGATCGGAAAATTCTTGTGTATCATAATTTGTGTCGTAGGTGTATTGTTCTTCAAGGATGGGATATTCGTGATAATAAAAATCATAAGGATTTTCACTTTCAAAATTTGATATTTCGTTGTTTGAATTAGCTTGGGGGGTTGTGGATTGATTGTCAATCTCTTTTGCTAGATAGTAATTTTTATTTGGTTGAATTTGATTTATACGGGTATTGCCTGATGAAGTATCCATAGGTTCAGGTTTGTCAAATTTTGGGGTTGGATTTTGGTTATATTGATTAAACATCGGTCTTGTAATTGAATGCATAGGTCTTTGCATAAATGGGTAAGGTCTTGGATTAAATTGATGTCTTTGGATCATCGGGTTAATTCTTTGAATATTCGGGAAGTTTTGTCTTTGATTATTTTGGAAATTTGGTCTTGGAATATTCTGAAAATAAGGTCTTGTTTGGAAATTATTTTGAAATCTCGGGGGGTTAAAATTATTAAAACTTGGTCGAATTGTTGGCGGTTGAAATGGGCTAGTAAAATTTTGTGAAGCTAATGGGTAATTAATTGGGTATTGACCTAATAGAGTTTTTGGCTTATTTTGCATTGCAACAGGTGTAGTTTTGGTTGAAATATCAACACGATTTTTATAAGCGATAAAATTTTCTTCTTCTAACGAGAACGACATGGCTTCTTCGAGAGATTTTGGATTTCTTAAACGTACAACTAACTGCATATGGTAATTAAGACCGTTTATAAATGTTTTTAAAATTAGATCTTCAAATTGGATAATTTTTAGAGTTTTTATATTGATATCTTCGCATGTAGAGTTAATTTTTGAAAATAAAATACTGCGGGCATCTTGCAAGCGTAAACCAAAATTATGCGCACTTTCGCTACTATTGGGTTTCATTGAAATTATATCCTGTAAAAGACAATCAACTGATCTTTGATCGGAGAACGTTGCTAGAAGGGCTGTTTTAATTTTTAACCAACTATCGAGTTCAGAACGAGAAGCTATTAAATCAGCTGCTCTACCAATTAATTTACTAATTATTGTATCTATTAAACAAACATTTATTGATGCATTTGGGTTATTTACATTTTGATGATTAGTTAGAAAATTTTCGCAGATTCTAATAAAACGATTTATTTGTTTAGGATTGCCGTCGAAATGAGGGATGTTATCCGCTTGGTACCTAACTAATTGAAGATTCACCGTATCCGGCATTGTGTTTAAATTAGTGTCAGAATCGGAATCGGAATCAGATGATGTATTAAAATTATCGACAGAAGCTACTCTAGGTTTTAACTCTAACGTTTCAAAACGAGAAATTAATCTTTCCAGTTTGAATCAGAAAAATATTTACAAAAGAAAAACTTACATTAACAGTGAGAGAACGACGATTTTCATTCCTGGTTGTTTCGTTTCTTAATCTAGTTTTCCAATAGGATGAGCGATGCTTGTCTCTTCCCTGGGCTACGTATGAAATTCGGACGATTTTTGTTCCTTATTTCGCACCAATAGGGTTGTGGACGATGCTTGTTCCTTCCCCTGGCCAATTGAGCACTTTGCACCCACTTGAACAGTTTTTTGTGTTGTTCGGATTTCGCGAATAAACTCTTGAGAGAGACCAAACAGTGTCGATTTTGGAATGCTTGTTTCACGGAAATCCTACTGTGACTGCGCCAGTTTTCGTCGTGGAAAACGAATTTGATTTTTTAAAAAACTTTATTCAAGCGAGATGACAAAAAAGCTAGCGACGTGGTTCGCACCGTGGTTTTATACAGACAAATTGCTGACGCTTTGAGAAACAAGTAATATAATATGTATGGGAACCTTTACTCAGCAGTTTACAGTATTAAAGCGTTTATAACTATGTGTTGCGTAATTTTGTGCCTTTTTTTAAAATAAATTTCAGATGCATTCCAGAATTCCTAATTGAGAATATAGTATCGTATCTAGTGTTTTTGCGTCGCTACAGTCCGAAAACCTTCGAGGAAAATGGTTATGAAAAACTCGATCCGGTTTTGACGTTCATATTGATATACATGGGTTCGCAACAGCACATGAAAAACCCCCACGTTAGGGCTCGTCTAGCCGAAGGGCTGGAGTCGTTGTTGCCCTTTCACAAAGACGAACCGCCTGGTAACAATTTGGGGGGCTACCAAAGGGAGATGCTGTTCAAACGGCACCCCCACAGGTCGCAGGTCAGCGTCAGCGTATTAAATGGGATACCGGTATCGAAGGCAATTTTTTAGATCGTTAAAAATCTGATGAGCGTGTTCGTCGGTATCGAAATGACAGGCCAGAGCGTCGAGTTCGAGCAGAAATTCAACTATCGGAGGCCCATGTATACTATTTTTGAATATTTATGGGAGATCCCGGAACACTGCCAGTGTTTTACGTGAGTCACCGATTTAAAAATAGGATTTTTTGAAAAGCGACATGCAGTCTCCTAAAGATAGTTGTACAAGTGTCAATTTTATTGTATTCAGTGCACTTCATGCACAGTAGAATGTTATCGAAATTGTCAAAACAGCATCTGGGACTCGCAATTTTCTTAATGCCACCTACCCACCGCATCTGCGCTCTATCTCCGCTCTTTCTCTTTTATTTTTCCATTGTCTCCCGTGTATGATCACCTCGTTCAACCTTACATCATTATACCTAATGTTGTGATATCTGTGGATCTAGTTTTCTCTTCAATCCATGCGTTTCTTTTTTGTGTTTTGTTTACATTATCTTTTCTAAATGTTGGTTAAAAACTCTGGTGTTCAGGTATTGTAGATGTTTTTTGTCCTTTGGGAAAACTTCACCTTTCCAAATGCAAGTCTGCGTCTCGTTTTAATTTCTGCTGTTTGATCTATTTTCCCCTATTCTGATTGTAGTGTTCTCTTGTGTATTCGTCTTGTCTTGGTTTTAGTTTTATTGTAATTCATTTTCTGTCCTAGACTTTGAGTTTGGATATCTAGCTCTACGATCCTTTGAAGTAACCCGTGCTATGTTATCAGCATTGTTTTGTCCGAATATATGTTTGATATTAACTAGTGCTCTGTGGTGTCAAAAGCTTTCTCAAAGTCAATAAATGCTAGAAACAATGGTTTATGGTATTCAGTTTATTTTCCAATAAGTATTTTCACTGTAAGTGTTGTACTAATTCCTTTTCTGAAACTGGCGTCTTAAGATTGGTATCCAGAACTACTGTGATAGAGTCATCCCAATCGTTTAGTATTTGTTTCTCTTGCAATATTTGGTTGAATAGTATATGGAGGGTATTGATGACTAGCTTTCCTCCATTTTTCACCATTTTCACAGTCACTCCATCTTTTCCTGGATCTCTATAGGAAGGATAGGAGGAAATATTTTATGAATGAAATCTACTCTTGTTTAATGTAGAACATTGGCCGAAGAAGCTGAGCAGAACATGGAAGCGGTCAATCCGCCGCTCTTTTTAAGATTCGCGAATTTATTGATAAACGACGCCATTTTCCTGCTGGACGAGGCGTTAGCGAACATGGCCAAGTTGAAGGAAATGCAACAAGCTCAGTAGGTTTATCGGACGAACAGTTAACGGTAAACAGTGACGCGGTTAAAATATTTTCAGTGATAACGGAGAATGGAACCAGCTTAGTCCGCAAGAAAGGTCGCAGAACATCGGATACATGCACCACGTGGGTAATCTGGCGCGTTTCGACAACATTCTGGGCAAAGATACGACGACGACGCTCGAGAAACTCACGTCCAAGATCACCATCGTGTTCACCCACTCGACGATGGTGGATAGAATTGCCGCGATGCTCAACTACTTCCTGCTGAATCTTGTCGGGCCGAATAAGAAGAATTTTAAGGTTTGTTCTGGGATTGTGAGATGTTCATCTGCCTTTGCTGACGTTTTGACAAATCCAATGCGTCGTCTTTCATTACTTTTTATCTTTAATAATTCTAGCTCTAATATATTTTGGATAAGGCTCATAGTTTTGTTTGTTGTTTGTTGTTTTAAAAGAGGTAACGCAATTGATGACTTATGAACTCTATGAACCTAAGGAGTGATTAGTGAATTTAGGTTAGGGCAAGACTCATTAAGTTTCGGATGTCACAAATCTATTCAATGGCTTCTTGTTGTTGTTTCCATGTGAATAACAGTTTGGCAGTAGTTAAGTTTTTATTGTTACTTGCTCAAATTGAGAAAACACGAAAGTTGAGAAAACTAAAGGAACTTCGGACATCAATCGTCTTTATTTTTCACAACTCTATTAACAAGTGAACCACTTTTTGTTATCAACTTGTTCATCGTGAGGTAGTTTACTAAGGACACCTGGCGGGCTTTAGTAATGGTTTTCGAATCATTGGTATTTCCACGTTAGGTTTCCTGTTCACAATACTGATCTCTAACGATTTTATGTTGTGGTTCTTGTCAATGTCAATGTTTTTTTTTTACTTGTTTTTGTTTTCTTCAAGTCATAAATTTAGAGGCTGTTCAGAGGATGTTTTGTCTCCAATATATGACTCACCACATCCACAAGGCACTTGTGACGTACACATTCTCTCTCTTAATCTGATGCTACGGGTATGGACTGAAAACTGACTAGAAAACTGTTGCGATGTTCGTCAGGGGGATACTATTCAGTTTTTTTGTTGTTTGATTTTCATTCTATTGGGAGATTTCTCATTATAACCAATTGCAGCATTGAGAGATGCTTGATCATTGCTCCTTTTGATGGTTTAACTCTTTCAAATTTCGTTGATCCTGAATAGTTAGATTAGAGTACTGACTTGGATATTGACCCATGTGTGTTTGTTGGTTTTTAATGTAAACATTTGCTGATGGATTCCTAATTTTGCTTACAAGTGCATCTAGAGATGGCAGTTTCTGTTAATGTTAGTTAGGTGGCGCTTATGTGTATATACTCAAAGTCTTTTACCAAATGGATTTTATAAAAGTATCTAAAACAACGGACCCGTTTTCCATGTCAAATTAAATAATGTCAGTATTCTTCTCCATTACGTTCAGTTTTGTAAGATTTGTTGCTTAGGTTTATTTTATTGTATGGTCACGCCGTAAATTGGGTTCTAGGTTAAAGATTCAAAAGAGTATAGCTTTGATCCGGCCGGCACGGTGATGGACATTTGCAAGATATACGTCAACTTAAAGGGAAGCGACGCTTTCTGCTTAGCAGTGTCTCAAGATGGCCGCTCTTACAGCCCGAATCTATTCAGCCTCGCCGAGGATGTACTGATTCGAATCGGTTGGCATAGCAACTTGTGCCTTGGTAGTTCTGACTATATTGGTTGCTCCTTTGTTCGTAGGTGGAGGACTGTTAATAGGAGAACTAAAAGAAGTGGCCGACAAGGTTGCGGAAAAAGCCAAGGAGTATAAGGCCAGCGAGGAAGCGATGATGGAGGCTCCAGATCATTTCCTAGATCCCATAATGTCCACTCTGATGACCGATCCCGTTACTCTGCCCAGTTCCAAGCAGGTTGTTGATAGAACCACTATTGCGAGGTAAGGTTTTGAGGAAGTAGTTTTTCTGTGCAGAATTACAGGTAAAAATAATCGTCTTTTGGTTTTTTTAAGGCATCTTTTGAGCGATCAGACAGATCCGTTTAACCGTTCCCCTTTAACCTTAGACCAAGTTATCCCGAACGTCGAATTGAGAGACGAAATACGGAACTGGATCACGGAAAGGAAAAATAAAATCAACAAGTAATTTGTTCAATAATTGTAGTTTATGTAAGTGGTGTCTAGGGGATGCAAAAGTTTGCGCTCATAGTTAAGCGCGAGAACGTCTTTTTTGTATTTTTTTGATAAAATCTAATATTTTGTATGTTTTATTGGCTTTGAAATTGTTATTATTCTTAAATAAGTTGGGAGAAAGGTTTCTTTAACTTGACACTCAACATAAATCTACAAACGTTTTCACTCACTGCGCACGCTTGTTGTTTACAATATCATAGGTGCCGATATTTAGATGCCATCTTTTCCTTATTTTGAATGATCTAATGAGGTAAGCTTGAGGAGGAGTATGAGAACGCGAGAGAGCGACAGTTGTTCAGTTGGTTGTTTTTTTTTTCAAATAACTTCTATTTTTTATGTAATAATCCAATATATATGGCGCACTATTCACTTACATTTGTGGGAAGGTCACCATTTTTCGAACAAGTGTCAAATATCCAATCATTGACACATAAAAATTTGGATATATCTATTTCTTGTCACCATTTTGGTATAGAAGTTAAGTTACTCTTAATTATTTTATTTATTATTGTAAACCAAATGTTTTCAAGCCCTGTCAAAATTTAGATGCTTCCCAGCATATGCCATTGCATATATTTGGAAATATACATATATACGTATATATACATATATGTATATATACATTTATTAACACTTGCGGGAAAAAAGTTCAACCAAAATATGCACCTGTTGATATAAATTGGCGCGAAAGGTGCTGTCAAAGTTAAAATCGTATACTGGGTAATAGATGGCAACAGTTGTCTTATAGGCGCGTTTCGTTGATTATATTCAAGGTAGATTTATTGAATATTCATTGCAAATCAATTGTCAAATAACTTTCAAAGTTTTAAATAGCTTTAGAATTATTTGAAAAAAAAATTATCCACACAAACACTTTCTTGGATTTCCTGCGAAATTTTCAGTTCATTCAACCCCCTAGTTTTGTCTTGTGATACGCAGTTCCTTATTTTGAACCATCCGCATGAAGTGGAATATGATTGCGCGGGATTTCAATGTTTTTGAAGGGAGTAAAAGTCAACCCCTTTAACGCAAAAATTATTGAAGAACGGATGTAAAGGGTGTTTGGTTATAGTTTGACACCACATTAACACATCTGAACCTCCACAATCTAAACTAAATGCTAAACAAATAAACAGGAAATACTTTTTCTTTATTTTCAAATATTCATTTGCTTTGGGATGTACAAACACATGAGGTGAAGAGCTGAAGCAAATCACCCAAGATGTCACGGTAATCATGGTACAAATGATAAATAGTTGATGATGGCAGCGGCGTTTTCTTTGCTGGTTTGTAGTCTACAAAACTACAAAACTCATCCACATGCAGCGTAACCGTCAGGTAAGAATGGGGCGAAATGACAAGATGGACTTTATGGAAAGCAGGATTTTCTGCTTTACTGCAATGTCTGAGAGGTCAAGTTAACAAAGGTGAACAAAAATATTAATTTGAAATTCCTGGCTTCAAGACGAAAAATTTTTGCACCCATTAGATGAGAAGTCCCATTTGTGATTCAAAGTACCTATAAAACGTGTAATTGATGGATTCCAGTTTTTAAAACATTAAATGTTTTAAATGTTTGTTTCACGTGATAAATTTTGTATTATATATTTATGATGGTTCCAGTCTTGTATGTGATCATGTGCACAATATATTAATGATTATAGTTGTTTCATATTTCGTTTAATTGTTATCCAAAATCCTGATAATTGACATAAGGTTCCAATAGAAAACATAATACATAGAATACATAGACTCTTGGAGCTCTTAGAATAATTTACCACTTCAATCTATTTCACTAAAAGTTAATTATTAAACCTAGAACAACAAATGTGGCCATTTTGATATCTTTACCAATTTTAAGATACTTATTTGCGAAAACGAATAACCAAAATGATCCTTAAGCACCGCACACTCTTGTGCAATATTGACGAATGAGATACCTCCAGTCTCCACTTGCAGTTCGGTAACTCATACGTTCCTCGATTTATGATGGATATATAGACAAATAACAGAGAAAATTAAATGACAACTCATAAATTTAATGACAGGTAGTGACGCCCGTTGGTTTTCCAAAGCCCGCTTAGATTTCGTGACTCTGAAAATTTCGCAATAGCTGAGAAGTAAATATAAATAATGAACGAAAATAGTGAGAAATGATGGGCCCCTGCATGAACTTAGAAAGACAACTTATAGCGTTATGTTGAGACCCTGGATTAGTCTTCACGCAATAGATCGTTTATGGAATCAAATGGGTAGGTACTTAGACACCATGCCGATAATACAGGAATTTTTGAAACGACAAATATTGAGGTCATTTTAGTGGGGCCAACTGCAGTAAAAATTTATGCGCTTCAGCTGGCGATGATATTTTCGTAGAGGTGGTAATCTACTGCGCTAACCTGCACTTTTTGACCTGAAACATATTTTAAGAAAATACTGCCGTAAAAATGCCGCATCCAAATGTATTGGCAATCTGTCGGTGGCGATGTTGGTTGTTGAATACCGCAAAGTCATTGATTGAGTTGGATGGAATTTTTCTAAATTTCTTCCATAGTTGCATCATAAATTCGTACATTACTAGCCTCTATACCACCCAATAGGACCCAGCAGCGTTCAACGAACAATATGGCCGCCGACAGTTCGTCAATTAGACAAATTTCAGTTTAGATGAACCATTTTTACGGCAGAGTTAAGTCTGGTGAAATTTAGAGGTATGCGTCGAAGATCATTCATAACCACCCGATACGCATCAATTTTTAACCTACTAGGGCCACTATATTATCTAGTAGTTATATCACTTGGATTCCTTATAGTGTTGATGAGAATTACCACAAGATGTGACAAACATTGCGTATAAAATTGTTTTTTTTAAACACTCTGTACAAGCTTAAAACTTAAGACTATATTGAAATGTTCATGACATCATGAATGCTTAAGCTACAGTTAAAAAAACATCTAAATCGAGAAATAATAATAAAAGACAGCTTTATTGCCTAACAGAAATATTCATTTTAACACACCAATGTTACAAATAATTACAAATTACATTACATTTATTACATTTATTATTTATTATTATTATTATTTATTATTGGTAATTACAAATAATAAACATAACAACAAACAAAAATAAATTAATAAAAAAATGATGACAATAAAAACTATTTCACAATAAAGACTATTTAATATTGATATGAAACAGTGGGGTTCCTACAGCTTCTGTCGCATCCCACATTTCGACGGCCATTTATCTTTGTTCCTCCACTCATCTTCTTTAATTGCTCTGTCCTTCATTATATTTCTTATACCATCGTTCCATGAGGTCATAGGTCTTCCTTTTTTCCTTCTGTTTTTAGGGGTATATTTTAGTGCTCTTTTTGGCCATCTCTCATCGTTCATTCTCTGTACGTGCCCATACCATATAAGTTGTCTTGTTTCTATTCGGTCAGTGCTGGTATGTATTCTCCCTGTTCTTCTTCATATTTCTTCATTCCTGACTTGTTCTACTCTCGACACTTGGCATGCTCTTCTCAAGAAATCCATTTCTACCATGTCGATAACTTTCTTGTCGTTCTTCGTCATTTGCCAGCATTCTGCACCGTACGTTAAGATGGGTTCCACAACTGCTTCATATATTCTAATTTTCGTACCTATTTTAGTACCGTTGGACCACAACAAGGAATTTAGCGCTTGAGTTGCTCTTCTTCCCTGCTGAGCTCTATTTTGAATGCCTGTTTTTGAATTACCTTCTTCCATTATGACGCTTCCCAAGTACTTATAATTTGTAGCTCTTTTTATTTTTCTAATATATAGTTCACGATCTTCATGTTCGTGTTTTCCCCCTACTTTCATATATTCAGTCTTCTGCATATTCATATTCAGTCCTCAATTCTCATAGTGTTCTTTCAGTTTTCTCAGCATGTAATCTGCGTCGTCTTAATCGCAAGCTATAATCACTTGATCGTCTGCAAAAAAGAGGCTCGTCAAATATTTGTCATCTAAATTTATCCCCATACTTGCTATTTTTTCCCTCCACTCTCTTAGGGCTTCCTGAATATATACTTTGAATAGAGTAGGGGACATGCTACAGCCTTGTTTTAATCCTTTGTTCACTAAAAAACGGTTCGATCTATGTACTCCCGTCTTGATTACACTCGTCGCATCTTTATATAGGTTCCAGATGGCTCTCACATATACATTGTTGAGTCCGGTTGTCATTAATACTTCAAACATTTTCTTTAAGGGCACCGTGTCATATGCTTTTTCAAGATCTATAAATAAATGGGTAGTTAAGTTGTGGGCTCTACGTTTTTCCATTACTTGTCGCAAGACAAATATATTATCTATATAGGATCTTCCCGTTCGAAAACCGCTTTGTTCTTCTATTTCTTGGAAGTTGTCTTCTATTCTTCTTTTGAGTATTCGACCGTACAACCTCCCCATTGAGCTAATAACCGTTATGCCTCTGTAATTATGACACAACTTTTTATCTCCTTTTTTATATACAGAGCTAATATATCCTAAATTCCAGTCCTCGGGTATTTGATCTCCGTGTATACATTTATTGAATAGTTCTAGTAATATATCTGGTGCATTCTTTATTAGCTCTATGGGCATGTCTCTGGGTCCAGCGGCTCTTTTATTTTTCGATTCCTTTAGGGCTCTTTTAATTTCTGTTATTGTGATTTTATGTACATGATCGTCTATGTTTATTTCTATACCGTCCATTTGGAATTTTGGCCTATTTTCAGTTAGTAGCGTTTTATAATACTTTCGTCATGTTTCTACCCCAATTACCTTTAATTTACTAGTCTCCTTTGTTCTTTTCCTTAGATTCTTTATTATTTTCCATGCTTCTGATACTCTTGTGCCGCCCATGAATCTACCTACTTCTGCGCATGTCTTTTCCCAGCGCTCATTTTTGATTCTTTCAACTAGTCTTTTTGCTTCTTTATTTAGTTCTGGATATATCTCTCTATCTTCATCCCTTTTAGTGTTTAGCCAGTGGTGATATGCCTTCTTCTTCTCTTTAATTACATCCTCCACTTGTTTTGTCCACCATTCTGGGTTGTTCCGCTTTTTCCTTTGCGACCCAAGGCTTCTTCTGCTGCCTCGTGTATATATCTTTTTATGTCGTTGTATAGTTCTCTCGCTGTCTGTTCCTTTCTTACTCGTTGTAGTTTGTTAGCTAACCTTAATTTGTATAAAAATTGTGTAGATTCATCTCGAAAACTGTCTAAGTTATATCTTTTTATGTCGATTTTTCTTCTGTAATTTACTACTAGTCTTGTTACTACTAAGTGATAATCTGAGACGCATTCTAAACCCCCATATACCCTTACGTCCAAATTATTTATTCTAGATTTTTGTTTCATAATTATGTAATCAATTATTGAGGAAAGCCCTCTAGTAGGTTGTGTCCATGTGAACCTGTGGATGTTTTTATGAGGAAAGAAGCCATTCATAATCTTCAACGACATTCCCTGGCAAAGCTCAATTATGCGTTGTCCATTGGAATTAGTTACTTGTTCACCATATCTGCCAACTATTGTATCGCCCTCCTTGCTGCCTGTACGTGCATTTAGATCTCCCATAATAACTATTTCATTATCTTCCTTGATGTTCATTAATGTATCGTTAAGTTTTTCATAAAATTCGTCTTTAGTTTGTGCGCCAGCATCTTCACTAGGGGCATATACTGCGATGATGATAATGTAATGTCCATTTATTTGTAATTCTAACTTTAGTATTTGTTCATCTATTTCTTCCCATGCCTTAATACATTTCTTGAGTGTCTTGTGTACTACGATAGATACTCCTCTTTTAGCTCTAGCATGTTTTTCCACTCCATTCCTTTCCTTTGCAGTTCTTGGAAGACTTCTGTATATTTAGTTCTTAGACCTTCCATGTTCCACGTACTGAATATTAATGTCCTTTTTCTTTGCAATTTTCGTCGTCGTTTAATCCTGTCTTGGTTCCGAGGCAAGTTGTCGAAATTTTTAGCTATAGTTTTTTTTTCCGGGGAATAGGGAGCTGGTCTATCGCCCCAACCCTCCTCCTCCTCCTCCTTTTACGTACTTTGTAGCGTTTACACGATATCCCAGCCAGATCGATATTCACCTTCAACCGTGCCGTTTAAGTCCGATCTAGTCAACAACTAACCTTACCATCTAAGATGTATAATTAGCAATCAAAGCGTCCAAAAACAAAATGAGTGTCGGTCCTGATGACATATCAAGTTTTATTGTCAGAGACGACCTGTGTGTTCCTTTATGCCAGATTTTTGACCTGGTGGTAACGGGTGTTTATCCAGAATTTTTCACCAATGCTCGAGATTATAAACATCAATGTATCTTTGCTCAAATTCGAAATAAACTCTCTACACAACAAATATATTGTATTACAAACTTTCACTTCTTATGATTATGACTCCTTCAATAAGCAAGGTTAAGTTGACGTTATAGACACCGACTTCCACAAAGCCAGTTTAACCAGATATACCATCACTTACTGATTGAAAAAGCGTCTGAAAAACTTAGTTTCTCCGAGACGCTAATTTCGGTGTTGAGGTCCTATCTGGTGCATCGTCGACAGTTCGTTGAGACTGAGGGCTTCAGGTCAGATCAGAATATATTCATCTCATATCTTTGGTCATCTGCGATAAGCTTGCATATGCAGATAAAATTAACTAAACTAAACTAAAACTATATCACTCAGGGCCAACATCAATATTGTCGATCAGTGGTATACTAAAAATAAATTGCACAAAAACCCTTGTAGTCTTTAATTATAGTATGGATGGTACTATATTATACTTGCCACTGTGAAGGATCAGGGCATTTTATTTGACCGTTTTATTTTATTTGGTCGTTCTCTTTCTAAAATTTTTTCCCATGCAATGTAAATTTTAGGATTTTGTAGCTCATCTGCTATTAAAATATTATTTTAATGTAATACCACTTTAGAAATTTTATTGAAATTTCTCATATATGTACCAAGAGGCATTACTTAGCGTATTACATTTTTTTAAAAATACACCAGTGGCCGGCGTGCGGAATTTAACATGTATATTTTGGCAGACATCGATGGTATGCCACTGATTTCTCTTAAAATAAAAATTATTCTTACAATTTTCAATCATTTCCAGAGAAATGTAATTTCTTTTTTTTTTTTCAACTCCATGTAAAATACATGAAAACCTCTTCTCTGCATCAATGAATGCAAATGTCTTTTTTTTTACCGAAATCAGTAGCGTGCCACTGACTGTCTATGAACAAGTAATATTTTGGTTTGGTCGCCAATTCGCTGGTTAAATAAAGAACTTTTTTTTGTGAAAAATAAAATATCTACCTAAAATAAAATATTTAGTTTCTAGTTACCAGGTAGTGTCCTTCAGAAAAAAAAGTATTAAATTTTTACAGTTTTAATGAAATAACAGCAATATAAATAATAAACGATTCTTATTTAAATTTATTTTATTTATTTATGTTTACGTACTTCGTAATCGCACTGATTTTTTGAAGTATTGTAATAAAACAGATAGACAAAGATACGAAAATTTTTGACTTATCCGTGTTTATACAAAGATTATTATTGCCTGATATTCGCAGCATTATCATATAACTAAAAAAATATTTTTTCTAAAAAACATTCTAGTGTTTTTTATCGTAACAACTGTACGTAGTAAATATACATTAATTACGATCAATAGCCATAATACGTGATACTGGTATATATGGTAGAAGACATGGAAAACAACGTAGAATTTGATGACGAAGTGGAGATGGTAATCGAACCTAATGACAATTTAGAAGACGAACTGCCTCAGCAAATAAAAAACGGATCTATGTGTTTTCGGATGCTAAACAAATTGTTTTGAATGTTTACAATTTTATAAGAAATTGAGAAGGAGAAGAAAAATTGTTGCGAATGGGATAGTCAGGAGTAAAATGAGAGAAGATGCTGGTACTTCGCGAGTTTTTAAAGAGCAACTCGCAGATATAATTAGGCGTATAATTAGCCCTAGTAGAACTGCATAAAAAAGTACTGACAGACTTAAACATTAGTTGAGTTTGAAGAAAATGGATTTTGAGTTCCAAACAATTAATATACGTCAAGTGCTAATGGAATCTCAAAGAATTTCGCAATTATTTAAATGCAATTGAAATATTTCGAGAGCAAAATGGGTCAATAGTGTACTTAGACGAAATGTGGTTCGACACTCACGACACAGTAAAAAAACGGATGGTGTGATAACAGTAAAAAGTGTGTACTAGACGTACTGCCTTCACACGAAAAAAGGCAAAGATTCAAGTGTGGATTACCATGAAAACATGACCGCGGAAATATTTGGTAACTGGTTTGAAAATAAACTTTCGCCAAGTACTGTTATTAAATTAGAAAAATTCTTTAAATATACTTCTTCAAGTATAGAAGAAATTAAATAATTTCTGTACGAAAATGATTTATATTTTGAATGGAACTACACGAAAAAACAATTTTTGGAATTATTAAAAATAAAATATTTTAATAAAGACTACAAAATCGATTCGATAGCACAACAAAACGGGCATGAAAATTTGAGTTGATTTGGTCCAAGTTGACAGAGCATATAAGAAGAAATAACACCGCACCAAACTTTAGTGAATGGATAGCTAAAATATCAGTACAAAGCTGGTCAACTGTGAAAAACGAGTAAACCAAGAAGAAAATATTTATCGAGAACGATTAATGGGGGAGTTGATCATTGAACTAGGTGACGACAGTAGCTGATAGTGACGGATTTTTTAAGTGACCGATACTTTATTATAATTATATTTAATATTTTGTATATTAATAATGACACTATGTAGAAATGTAATGAAATAGAACGTAATAAATTGCTACTTTGCGCAATTTTTTTTTATGTACACCGTGTGCCAAATAAAACGATCCACGATCTGGAAACCCATAGGAGATACGAAAAAAAGTTTCGTACAAAAGTTGACTTTCCTGAAGATATAAAATGCTATAATTTTGTTGATGCAGGGTGTCCCAAAAGTGTCCCACCCTGTATATTTCGATATTTTTTGAATCCTTGGTTAAAATAAAAGTCACTCTCTTAAAAAAATTCTATTCGAATTTTGCATAGTTTAGGCTGAAATTGAGGTTATGTGTGTTTTTTTTAATATTTTGATTGCCCCATATGAAATTGTGTTGTGACGCTACTGATCCAAGTATTGCAACGAAAAGTTAACCACAGACTAAGGAGATGATTTGTTTGACAGTTTAATTAACAAAATCTCAAGATTTTCAAATAGAACACCCTATATTTTTATTCAGATATCAATTCTATGACAAGAAACAAGGTAAGTTTGTAATTTATCTTATATTTAAATTTTACTTAGTTTTGGTTAGTGAGATATTCGAGGATTAAGGATTAAGGAGGATTATACGGGTGTTATAAATTATTGTTGAATTTAAAGCTCACATTAGATCACTTGTTGGTAATATTAGGTATTTTTTAAATAGCAAAGATATGATACTACTTCTTTTAAAGATATAATACTCCAGATATACGAATAAAACCTGTTGATAACATTACACGGTGTCCATTAATACGTGGAGATTTTGAGAAAAATCGACTCTATGATTTCGATAGTATTCCGATAGTATTTAACAGATTTAATGAAACTTCAGAATTCATATTTAAAGAAATATTTAATAGTTAATTATCTAGCTTTATTGAAAATACTTAAAAACAAAAATAAATAATTAAAGTTTACAAGGTAACCAAAAAACTATAATTTATTTAAAATATATACTAACAAAAAACTTGAGAACTATGAACTTTTTAAATAGAAATATGAAAAACAACAAAAACAAACAGAAATGCAAAGTTTGGTTATACCTTAATGCGTCAAAAAAAAAGATTGTGATGTTATAACCAACTACATTTTTAAATATTTTGATATTTCTTTGTTGTTTCGATGCCAGGTGAACGAGTATTTTAAGAGGAACATTTTTAACTAAACTTTATTGACCGAATTAAAGAACACTTTTAAGTTACTTTTTTTATAGATTTATTTATTCAAATTTGTTACCTTGGTTAGTAGTTAGTCTATATATTTTAATTATTTGTTTTTGTTATTTGGTATTTTCAATCAAACTAGATAATTATCTAGTAAATGTTTCTTTAAATATGAATTCGGAAGTTTTATTAAAGATGTATTGTTAGCAATAGGTTTTGTTCGTATATCTAGAGTATTTTATTTTTAAAAGAAGTAGGATCATGTCTTTGCTATTTAAAAATTACTTAATATTGCCAACAAGTGACCTAATGTTTACAGCTTGAAATTCAACAAGAATTTATACGGGTGTTATCTTAAATCTCGAAAATCTCGGAAAGTAAGAAACATTTAAATATAAGATAAATTACAAACTTACCTTATTTTTTATCCTAGAATTGATATCTGAAAAAAACATGGGGTGTTCTATCTGAAAATATTGAGATTTTCTAATTGAATTCGGAAAAACGGTACCACCTATTTGGGACACCCTGTATAAGCTGAGGCGCATCTGTCAAACTGATTGACTTAGTCTTAGGTGTGTGGTGGCTGTACCTGGATCAGTAGCGTCACAACACAATTTTATATGGGGCAATCAAACAATGCAAAATTCGAATCGGAATTTCTTAAGAAAGTGACATTTATTTTAACTAAGGATTCCAAAAATGTCGACATATACAGGGTGCTCTATTTAAAATAACAAAGTTGATGTTGATGTCGGAGATGTGTATCAACAAAATTATAATAGTGTAAATCTTCAGGAGAGTCCAAGAAACTTTCGTACTTTTTTTCGCATTTCCTATGGGTTTCCAGATCGTATAGTGGATCCTTTTATTTGGCACACAATGCTCGGCGAAAAAGATTAAAAACGTACTTATATCCCGATTGTTAGTGTAAGTAGATAAAGTCCTAGGACGGCCCTGGAATGGTGACGGGTAAGTAGTAATAAACAGCAGGCAAAGTTAATCACGGGATCGGTTGTAAAAACACCATATTTCTGGTCCAAGTATAGTTTTAATTTGTAGACCTTAGTACCTGTGACATTATAATAGCTAAGTAAAATTATTTAAATGCACAATCATACCAAATCACGCGAAATCGTGTGGAAATCACAATTTTTACCGTGGTGGTTAACCCCTCGATATTTAGGTTGCTAACCAAAATAATTTAGAAATGTTTGCTGACCGTAAGCTACTAACCAACTAGCCATTTAAATAACCCCCCTTTAAAATACCCACTGCATGCACTCCGATGGTTTTTGGTCCACCAATCATCAAAAATGCTACAATCCCCGAGAGTGTCGCAAAAAACATCCCGCACAGTCTGCCTACCCCAGACGATCGGCGGATCCTCGGTCGCCCTCCCAAGCACCCCTACAGTTTTGAGTCTACGTTTAGCCCGCTACGCCTGCGCCCCCACATATATATCCCGCGGTCCCCGTTAAAAATCATTCCTTGCACTAGTAACAATCCGCCTAGCAAACGGGCCGCGTTCATTTTAACACACCGCGGGTCATGGCAACTGCGATGTAATCGTTTTGACGTTTTTCTTTCACTTCCCGTTGCGCGTTTGTTTCGCGTGTAGGCATCGGCGAGCGTGGTTCATTTGTTCCCGACGACGACGACGGCATCTGTTTTTGTGCCGCGGCCAGCCGTGATCGCCGGCATAACACCGGCCTTTCGTTTGACGGATTTTTTGACAAGTGCAGCAGGAAGCAGGAGACGATAACGAAAGGTAGGTCGGCGCGGTTAAACACTTCGCAGGAGGATTTTATCGACGAAACTAACGGGGGAGTTCTTTTGACCGGAGGAGTAACGGAGGTGGTGTGAATCGCGTAGATCGATGTTGGCAGTGTTGAAACGGAATACTATCGAGAGTGATAAATCGTAGGATTGGTGTGTTTCCTGGGTAATTTCGGCGATAGCTTTCCGGTTTTCTTTAAAGTAGAATGTTTTTTTTTAAACATGCTACGTGCTTGCTCCCAAGTCCTGTTTTGCTTTTGCAGTATTAAAACCAAAATCCTGAACGATAGTTAACTGGATATAATAATATTGAATATAAAGTATCCCCACTGTTATGGTTTGCGATTTATGGGTTAAACGTGTCAATTAATATGATGTAACATTTTATTATTTATTTACTTATCTCTTTGCAAAAGTATATGACCGAGGACCAAACATTGGTAATATTATTTATAAATTTTCTGGATTCATCCTGCATCGATTGTTGCGAACTTACTGACGTTTCGAAAATCGTCCAGTGGACGTCTTCAGAGATTAACTGAAACTGAATCGCATTCTACTCTGTACCTGCTTATACCTACTTTTTTCTTTGGGGATATCTTATCTAAAAAGTAAAATTTATGTTACGAAACCAAATTTGGTTGAGGATCTGAAAGATAGTTTTCGAAATGTTTGCAGTGTAATTCTCCCAGAAACTTTGCATAATGTGCACAAATTGATAGTTGATAAAATGATGACACTATTTATTGTTTTAATTTAACCTGCGGTTAAGCAATAGAAAAGTAATAAAACCTTTGCAAGCATTCATTTGACCGTCTTGGAGAAACTGACGAATCAAACGTTTTCAAACTTGATATGCTAATAGAACGTGAAAAGACCTTCAAAAAGAGGTATCACGAGACCCCTTTTAACATTAAGAAAATAATTCATGTCATGTCATGTCATTTTGACATTTTGGGATATTGTTTTTATGTCTTCATGTCAAATTTCATCGTGATATATGCAAGGTTACAAAAAATAAAAACGGGATCCCATCATTTACGTGGGCACTGTATATTATCACCAATCCTCTGAGAAGAAAGCCCTCGACATCTTCCATGTAAAACCAGAATTATGGAAACTGATGATACTTTTGGTCTTTGACCTCGTGTTCAAGAATCCGTACTAGATTTTCTTGGAAACTCTACGTTGATGATACTTTTGACTTTTGACTAGATTTTCTTAGTCATTTAAACTCTATACGTCCTTATATATTCTTATCAACAGAACATCAGACCTAACATTGGGTCACTTTTTTTACAGAAAACCTACCCAAACATTGTCAAATCACCATTCGACTCAAAAATCATCGGTTATCAACTCTCTTGTGTACAGAGCCGTAAAACTATTTAAACCCGATTCACTAAATGCAGAATTAAAACACCTTACATCTGCTTTTCTCTGTAATAATTTCCGTATTAGAGATATTAAGCTCTCCATCACAAATACACTTCACCACAACCTTCCAACTAGTTCGAAAGCAACCCCACACTTACTTTTAAGTAAGTTGTAAGTTGTCCTTACTTACATTCAAAACATCACTGACCACATATTAAAAGTTTCTTAAGAAATATAACGTCAAAACCAGATTTATCCCTTGTCAAAGACAAAATTCCATATGAGATTCCAGAAGTTTACAGCATTCGATGCATATGCGGCAAAGAATACATTGGAGAGACCGGAAGAAAAATATCAACCGAGCTCAAAGAACATGAAAGAGCCCTAAGACTACGACAAATAAACTCATCAGCAATTGCACAATCAGGAAATAATCTTAACCGCAACTCATGTTTCACCAATATGGGAATCAGTTATCCGAGACAACGTTCATGCTCTGCCCCCCTCAAACCATATATAAACAGAATAGAATGCGAGTTCAGTTAAGCTCTCACGAAGCTAACAAGATGATTGGCGAACGTTTTTAAATAGCCTGTGGAAGTTTCTTTCAAAATGATGTACATTTAAGACTTTTTCTCTTAATATGCAATCCGGGCACTGAACTTGCACTTGTACACAGAATGTACATCTTAGTCGCCTAATATATCAATAACCAAAAAGTAAAGCAATTTATTCACTTTTACAAGATTTAAATGTCGATTTCCTGATTTGTTTATCTAAAATCCAGTTATGAATCTTATTTTTTACCATCATATAAATAGCCATCCAAGACGGTAAAGTGTTGAAGATCTCTTGGGACTGGGGATGTGGAATTGACCGGTAAATTTTTTTTGTGTCAATTCACCAGTTGTTTAAAAAAATTTGATCGCATTGAGTGGAATATTTATCAAATCACCAGCTCCAACACTACTAGGGACCGAAAAAATACACGTCTTTGTGTGGAAAAACTTTTCTTATCTTCTGTTATAAAAATGCATGATCTTTTTGCATTTTTGAGAAATATCAAGAGATGTCCACAAGCGCTATTCCGAATCGTGCCATAATTATCATTTTAAGAATATTGACAGATTTACTCCCGAATTTTACGATATTTTCAACTAAGCTTAACCCAGACTTTTCTTTAAAAGCAAATAGCGTATTAATTGTGGAAAATATTTGTATTGATATTTTTGGAACCGTCTTTTAAATTTCTACAAATTACTAAGTGAAGTGATCCAATAAAAAGTGATATAAATTTTCTCTTCTGGATTTGCATGGTAGGCTTTCTGACTGACACGGTTTTTCTAGAAGAAAATTTTCGCGGCTAGGTAAAAACAAATTACCTATTTAAATAATTTACTAGGGTTAAGCAAGTCTTGTTATTATGTAAATTATTTTTAAAGCTAGATTTGTAATTTATTTTTGTTATCAATTTCTAAAGTAAGCATTAAAAAATAATAAATTAAAAAAAAAGAATTGTTAGGTTCTTAAAAACATAAATTAAATTGAATGTTAGCCCATATTTATACCTTTTCCTCAGTCTGTCAGGCAATTATCACATGTGCTTAAAACCATCTGCTCTGAACTTTAAAGCTTTATCGTCTAATCGTCTACAAAAATGCACTCCTTTTGAGTTTGTTTTTTCCAAGTTATCCAAAGTATACAACTCAAAGTTGGATTTTAAATTCCTAAAATTAATATAAAACTAATTTTTTAAAGTTATTTTCCCTATAAAACTACAATATGACATGTTTCGTTGCTTATTATATAAATTTAACATTTTTTTGATAAATAAAAACTCTCGAAACATATTGATTTTTTTTGATAAATCATAAAACACTGTATCACAAACGGCTTTTGAAACAAAATAAATCGTTAATTACTAATGATGAATGCCGATCCTCTCCAGTTGTTCTAATAAAGCTTAAGATTGTTTTTTGCTAATTAATCCTTGATTAAAAAGAAAATTCGAGAGGAAAATTAAAAAACATCAAATTTGATACAGATTTTTTAATATATAACAGCTATATTTCCTATGTTCCTACAAATACTAGTGTGAAATCTTGTTTAAAAAAGGTTTTTTTTGTAATTAGAGAAACAAATTTTATTAATAATCAATGTTTACATTATTTTATAGCAATAACGTTTTTATGAAGGGTGAATCAGCAAAATGACAGATATACAGAGAATTTCAATTTAATTCTTTACTAATGTCTACTAATATTCAACCATTTAAAATGTCACTTCTTTTCATTTAGATACATTTCTACCCTTTTAGGCTGCTATTTTTAACTAGTCTTAACTAGTATAAACGTTTCGAATGCAGAGGCGGTGGTCATCCTCAACAGGCATCGAGGGGTACTTAGTTCGCAGCGAAATGCTACTGTCTTAGCCCAGTATTTATGCTTCGTGAATGTTTGCGTCCTGCTCACTGATGCATCCACCGGTTTACGCTTGAATATACACAGTGTGACGCGGCTATCCTGCTGTGATTATCAGATGTCCTTGACTCATTGGAAGCCGTACCTCGTTGATCCCAAGTACCATATGTTTGTCTACTTGTCCTCGCCAGTACCGTGGAGGCACTTTTTAGAGACTGTAAACTGAATTAAAAATTTGAACTACGTATTTATATCACACCTACAATTGGTAGCGATAAAAGATGATGGAATTTTTATTATATTTGACCCGTGACCGAATCGAAGTTCCTTAAGTGACGGTTATCAATGCAATAGCCGAACCGTATGCAATCGTAATTCGTCATTTTCGCGGAGCGCTTGGGCATTAAAAATCTGATGTTGCGTTTAATATTAACATTATATTAATATTATATTAATATTAACATTAAGGATTGTAAAAGTGATGATAACCGGCACTTTGAGCCAACTTGTGTTCTCGGAGGAGGAGGAGATCTGGACATAGTGTCGTAAGAATGCTTCATCTAAACTAAATCCAGTTAAATTAATGAACTGTCAGCGACCATGTACGCTGTTTACCCTTTTTTGGTCCGTTTGAAGTAAGCACTAATCCAAAAAATGAGACAAACTTTAATTAAAATACGTTTTTACGTTGCGTTTGGCCAGTTTGAGTTGTCTGGAATATTCGGTTATTTTTCGTTTTTGCTTTGTGGATTATTGTGAGCTCTATGATGTATGTATGGTTCCTGGTTGTGCTCATAATATATTCTACAAGGAACATAAATCCAATTTTCGGCAACAAGAGCGAAGAGTATTTTATATAAATAAGTCTTAGAAGGTCCGTGATTTGCATTTTACAGAAAAACTAAGCTCCCTCGGAAGTGAGTACTTTAATATAAAAAATAAACCATTAACCATTAAATGTTTGGTTAAAACCGCATCCCCATATCTTCACTACCAACCGAGCCTTCTTCAATTTTCGGCCCTTTTCAAAATTGCCCATGACTTTTTTATTTATGAAAATTTTTGATTCGCGTAAAAACAGTGTTAGGGCATTTTTTTATGGCGAATGCAGTGGCCTACTCAAATTTTATTCTACAATTCTCCCTTATCTCATAAATGAATATTTTTATATGACAATCATAGTTGAAATGTCCGT